TTTAGACATGAATATGTGTCCCCGGTGTTCCAGGGAACTCACCAAGTGTCAGAAAACACAACCCTCTCTATTTTCCTCCATACCCAAATCTCTAAAAAAAGGGGCTGCAACGGATCTGATAAAAACTGATCCAGATTTGAACACTGTCCTGACGTCAGGACAGTGGCGCTACGGCTATTGGGCCAACTCCACCAATCAGGAGGAGACAGCCACGGGCATTGCCGTTCGAAAGCGCTGGAGACGCTGTAGTACATATGCCAGGCCTGTAGATGGTGCTGTTCTCACAGAATCAGCCCTTGCAAAAACAGAGCTAGAAATTGTCAAATTGAGCAAAATGAGGCATGGCTAAAATGCATGATCTGTTTGGTATTTTGAAAAAAAAAAAGTATAAATATGCCTTATATAGCAGGGTTGCCAACTCTCACGCATCTGGCGTGTGACACACGCTTTCACTCTCAATCTCACGCTCTCACGCTGCCCAAACTATTCTCACGCCAAAAACAAGAATACGAAGACAAGAAACGGTTTTGAAAACTTTTGTCACGTAGTGATCGTCTTCTCAATAGAACATCTTTGATAATGTCTTCTGGCCAATCAGAATCACGATAACGGCGTGGTGTTGTTGCAGGAAGTCCCGACGGAGAATACTTTTGCGGTAGTACATCTCTATACATTGATACAACATTACGTGTTGATAGAAATCAACACGTAATGAAATAAGACCCCACGGTTTGATGATTGATAGGTGTGTGGGCTGTCTTTCATTTTGACACACAGAACAATGGGGGCTATCCACCCTTATCCACAATGTAAAGTAATTCACACAGCCTCTTCCCTCTCTCTGTGAGGAGCAGCAGGTTCAGCTTTCAGAACAAAGTAACAAAAAACTAATATGGCATTCATTTTTTTTAAATGTGTAGTAATAGATTTATTTATTTTTCTTCTCAAGAGAGTACCAGAATGTGTATTTTATGTTAGTATTTAAAAAAATCTCCTGGGGGAGAATCCCCCCAGACCCACCTGCAGGGGTTGGGTCTTCAGCATGTCAACTCTTTCACTTGTGGGGAAATTGCAGGATTGGCTCCAGGTCGCCCTTTTTATTTACTACAAGACAAATGTGCCTTTTTATTTCATACAGTTCAATTTGGATTGAGACAGGGAAATAATCTAAACCTCACGCGTGGCGTTTCACTGTCGGGGGGAGCATGTAATTACATTGCAAATACTGACTTGAGCCCCACCACTGTATGGGTTAGCCCTACCATAGATTACCCAACAAAAAATACTCTGGAGCGCATGCGCAGATCCAGTAGAAATGATAAAAAAGTAACAGTCTGCTGCTTATTGTTCTACTAGGCCAAAATAGAGTCAAAGAGTATATGAGAGTGAGAGTGTGTTAATTAATATATTTGGCAGTTTGGAGTAAGTCTGTAGATTTGTTTGTGTGTGTGTTTCATAGGCCTCTCACGATAATTAATTTTGTTGGATACATTTTCCCGGAAATGATTGCGATAAACGATAATATTCTCGGCACCGTTGTATGACCATTTTAGACCACTGACATAATGATAATATATAATAATAGTTCAAGTACATCCTTTCAAACTGCTAGTCACATCCTCATGTAAATGGCAATTTATCGAGGTCAGAAAAGTTATCGAGTTCATTTTTATTTATCGTACGATAAGTCAATTAATTGCTTATCGCGACAGGCACACAATAAAACAGTGGAAACAAACATGTTTGACTTTCATTAGTGAATGAAACTGTGTGCCTGTGTCCATTATTGTGTATTTGTATATATTGTATATATATCCTATATATATGCTAAGGTCCCGCTCCAGACACGATAGTAGTCATTTCGTGCGCATATGTGTAATTAAACCGAATTAAACCCATGATATCAAAATCTCACTCCAGCCAGGTACCCAAAGTTGGCAACCCTGATATAGGTATGGTCCTACACTATATTATTCAAATATAGCATGATAGGTCCACTTTAACTTTAGCTTTAAAGTTGAAAGGATTTAATAAACGTCACAAAACACTGAAATTCTAATTGTTCAAGCGGCTTCAGGCATTGTATTTTGTTTGAACACTACTGATGATCAAACATCGATTTACTTTTTGATCAATTCTGTTACCATGTCATATGTGGGTGATATAAAAGTAGTCAGACTTGACAAACTGTTACCAAAATGCCATCTCTTGTCTGACAGAATGTAAAAAAGCCAGGCTCCTTGATATATTTTTTGAGTGTTACAACCTGGCAAAAAATCCTCCAGCATTCTGCTTTGAGTCACACAGCTGTTTATGAGAGTTAACACTGACCTTCATGTTGAGAGAACAGTGTGAAAGCCTCTTCACTGTGAAAGGACCAATAATGTGCCACCCTGCGAATGTATTTCCCTCTGCAATTCAGTGCTGACAGACTTTTCTTTATTAAAAAGCTTTTTCAAACAGTGTCTTACAAAGGGGTAATCCTTGTCTTTTCAAAATAATTTGAAATAAGGAATTAAGTGAATGGATTCAGTCAGACCCTACAAGTGGACTTGGTTGCTTTAAGTAATGAATTACAAACTCTAGTGATGATAAATGGCACATTTTGATCTCAGACCTTGTTTTGAGCTCTGGTGCCTCCATTGTCATCCAGCATTTTTGATCCCTTGGAATAAAAAAACTAAATAAATTCCTCGCCAACAAAAAAAAAAACACTTTGCAGGAGCCCACAAGGTTGTTCATGCTGGCTGCATGGACTTTTTCTTTGTGTGCAAATGAAGTCCTTCTGCAAAGCGCACTCCTTTATCAAACTTTTTTTTCAAGATGTTGCGAGTCATAGCTGTTACACACTACTACACTATACCACTGCTTTTGCAATGTGGCCTCAAGCATATTCAGTCTGGTTTGAGGGGATGTGAATGATTAACTGTCAGCATACTCCACATACATGTGTGCATAACCTGACATTTGCCCCATCAACTTTTTTGGAGATAAAAGTAGTTGTTGGTCTAAATATGTAATGCCCTATGCATGACAATAAAACAACACTATCACATACTGTATAGATCAGGATGTTAGTGAAACCAAAGGTGAGTTTAGTAAAATGTATGATGGAAATTGGATATTGAATATGCAAGCAACATCACATTTTAGCAGGGAACATAAGGCTTTTCTATGGTATTCTCTATAGATGGACTGCACTGAAGTGAGTTTATAATGACCTTGTTGTGGGTTAAATACAATAGTGTGGGATTATGCCACTGTGTATTTAATGTTACACAAGATGCCTTTAAGTTCGGTTTTGTGATAGAGACTCATATTTACCTAGACCTATATCTTGTTGTGGTCGACTCAACGGAGGGAATTCATACCTCCAGAGCAGGCGGACTTGCTGTCGACGCTGAGCCGGAGTATGGAGCACCAGAGGCGGCTGGAGCACCAGGGAGCCCTCGGTGTGAGTCAGTCCGACTTCCACCCCTGCAGTGGCTGCAGGGAGGCGAGCTCACACCGCGGGCTGGGCTGGAGACGGAGGGGCGGGAAGCTGAGCCGCTGTTTGACCTTCCTAACGCTGTCCGGAGATTTTGGCAGGAGTTGTAACGTCCATAATGGCGGAAGTTGTAGGGAGACGTGTCACTAAACCGTTCAAGGTGCTGTTGGTGATGATAATTTCCTTCTCTGGCTTTGAAGCTGCATCTCAATTAGCTGCACCGGCTCAGACAGAAGGAGAGACTGCTCGGTAAATAAAACAGGAGCACTCCAACTAGAGAGGTTCAGCCCTCTTTGATAACCCCAAACCCTCCTTGACAGATATGAAGTGTCGAGTTAAACCCAGATAACAAATATGTTCTATTATATATTGTCACACAATTTAGATATTTAGGTAGTTATGGTCAGGGATTTGTTGTGTGTGGGGTCTTATACAGTTTATTTTTATGCTTTTTTTTTTGTATGTAGGCTACATTCTTAATAATTGAAATGATGATACAAAACTGTTCTATACTTTTCAAGATTACATTTATTGTGATGTAAACAAAATATAGAAGTCGTTTATAGTAAATAGTTATAGTATTGAGTTACTTCTTTCACATTTATGACTAAAGTTGAAAAAACTGATATGAAATGTTTAAATTGAATTTCTGTTATGTTAAGTAGGCTACATTAACTAATTAACTAAGTACTGAAGTGTTTAAGTAAACTTTAACTTTGCACTACTATTTGAGATTTTCAAGTATTTGAGCCTTCTTATCTTACTATATTGTACTTATCACTGCACCATATTATCTAAAACTTCCGAATTTAGAATAATATAATATAATCAAAAGTAAGTAAAGAAACCATTTATATTAGTTATTAAGATAAGTTCCATCTTTACAAGCTGCTACATTAAAGGGATGAACAGACTGATACACCAATAATTATATCTACAGAAAAATGTGTGTTTTAAAGTTATGTTATGCAGCCTGCAGTTTGTAAAATAATCTACAGCAACAACACCATGATTAAATGTATATCATACATAGAAACCTCTTACCCTTGCTTCTGCCCCCTGGACCGGTGCCTTCTGCCATTTCTCATCCAATCTGATTCACTCAAGCGCACCACCCACGCATAAATGCAAAACAAAATGACTTGGAAACTCCAATATATGAGCGTACAAGCAATTGAACCCCTTGTTATGGTATAGCTGGATGTTACAGATATGCTAACTGACCTGTTTTAATCAATTAGCATAGCACTTTGCATAGATTAAGCTTCCTTTGGAACGGCATTAGGTATCCAAGAGGAAAATTAGCCTAATTATGATGGTGAAATCAAACTTTCAGACAGGGAATTCCCTGTTGAAAAATAATGATATGCTAAGAATAGAGTTTGTCAGGGTACCTCTACATGACAGGGCCACGACATAGCAGTACCCACTTTAGTTAATATTGTGGATTAGGTTGCCCAACAGGTGACATGAAATACATTTCCAAAACAAGATAGGGAAAATATTGACACAATCTCATTTAAAAGTTTTTTATTTGAAATGATTTTAAATACAAATAATATACTTTTCCATTTACAATGACAGTTCCTTTGTAAACAAAAGTGGCAGATAGATAGTCATTGGGTAATTTGTCCAAACTGAGGCGGCCTGCCGGCCAGTCGCCTGAACATCTTCCGTCATGGGAGAGATGGTGTCGTATTTAACCTCACTGCAGATTTTTTTTCCCACACAGCGTAAATCACTGATGCTACATTCTATTGCACCGCGATAAATACTCAAGAGTACAATTTTGCCTGTTAGCATAAACCTGTTTTGAACGCAATTATGGGAGGGGATAGTGCGCACGTGAGGTTGTGTATGTGGTGTTGGGAGAGCGTGCCCACAAATAGTCATATCTTTAACTCTCCCACTCGAACATGACACACTATACAATAAAAAAAAAAGTGGATATTTATGGTGAAAGATTATAAATTTCTTTTAAACACTGTCAAGTCGTCGACATACAGTGAGAGCCCACAGAGCCACACAAGGAAGCTCTGATTTTTCTTTTTTGCACTCATGAGTCTAACAGATGTAAAAACCAAAGTTAGATTGGAACGAAACGAGACAATGTTTTATATTTGTTGTCACTAAAGCTTAAGTGAACTTTTAAATGAAAAAAGGGTCTCTTGGTTAGCCAGAACTGCTCTGTACTCCCCCAGACGGAAAATCAAAAACAAAATGCCTTTACAATGTTGTGGGGAAAAAACACTTATCATTTGAAAAAAATGGCGGTAATTAAAAAAACAGACATTGTTGAGCTTTAATGACTAAAAGGAAAAGGTGCTGCACAGAAGATCATCTGTCTTACACAAAAAATTACTTTCAACAGGTTTTAGCTCGAGACACTTTTCAGATCATGAGTGCTGTGCGTGTCAGGGACCCCATACTCCAATCCCTTTAACACAAAGCGGGTTACGTACGATTGCTAATCCTCTTTCAGCAGACACAACTTTACTCAGTGATATGTATTCCAAGACTGAGGAGCTATAGGTTTCTATGAAGAGGCTATCTCTATACGGAAACAAAAGAAAAACACTGTTACAAAACAAACTTTTTTTTCTGCTCTCCCAAGAACCAATGGTGCATAGCACCCAAGGACTACTATGTTGTGGTATTTCAGTTGTATTCATAAGGCCATTTTGGACAATGAGTATACACTGGAATGTGCTACAATTGTAAAGAGGAAAAAATAAAAGGATGAAGAGAAAGGAACTTCTCCGAAAAGCCACAAGTATTTATATCTATATATATATATATATATCAGTATCTGAGCCCCTTAGAAAGACTGAAAACTCACATTTGTATGTAGTATATGGACGAGAAGAGTACTCAATAATTCAAAGAAATGTTAACACTGCTAGTTTTGCCATTTTCCCCCAGTATACTTGAGGTCAATTCATTTCAAGATCCACCTATTTTCAACCAACACAGTTTGACCTGGATTACAGGGGCAGAACAGGCATCATTAACGGAACCGACTGTAGATCAGTGTCCAACTGTGGACGTCTCCTTAAACATACAGTGAGTACAAGTACATATAAGTGACTGGCTGGTGTGACAAAGAAAACGAAATGAAAAAAACTAAACCTGACAAGACATTACTGTGCCCCCATGCGCTGAAAGGAGCAGAAACGTCCCAATGTTTGCCTCGGATGTGTTCCGAAGCAATCTAAAGCTCACACTGCAGTTTTTAAGTGTACAGTAGAAAGTATCATTGGTGTGGAAACCATTGGTGCCGAGTGATTTTTTAAAATTAGGAAAAAGAGCGATGCCATGATTTCCATTCGGAGGTCATGTGTTTTTGTTAATTTTGCAAAACTGAATTAGCTGTTATACATCCCCCTCTCCCCCCTTGGAGAAAAGAGCCCAGATAATAGGTCCTCCAGTCCACAGTGTGTCAATCTTCCATACCTGTACAAACACATACAAGGTTACAAACACACATCATCCACTCGCACTCTCACATGCACACACAAACACACACACACATCAGGGCCTGGGCAAGTATTCACAGAATTCTCTTCCGTTAGCAACGGAAACTGAACGAACAAGTCTCAGTAGAAAAAGGGGGAAAATGGAGGGGCGGGGTCACAGTCTATGTAAAGATAAAATGGAGGGGAAGAAGAAGAAGAAGAAGGGCTCTGTGTGTATAAACTGTCCCCAGTGTGTGTTCAGTGTGTGTTTGTGGCGGGCACAGCTTCTGCTTTCTCTGCTTTCGCTGCTCTTGAGTGCTGCTGTGGCGTCGGGAGTGGGTTGGGGTGGTCAGTCCATGGGGAGGGGGTCGGGTGGTGGTGGGGTTTGGGGGGGCTGTGTGTGCGTGTATCCACATTCAGTCGTTGTCCTCGTCGTCGTCTTCACTCTCCTCGATGCCGTCGCTGTCCTCCTGCTCCTCGTCCTCCTCCTCTGTGTCGGGGATGTCCCACTGCGGGTGGTTGTCCAGCATGGCCTTGGCCTCGTGGACCTCCAGCTGGGGGAATACAAGAATACCCGTTAGAATACCTACATTTCACCTCAAAACACAGATTATATCTCCTACGTTTGGAGATTAGGTGTGCCTCTGCAAAATGACCAATCAACCATGATAGAGCAGTATTCTTTTTCCACATTTTAGGGTGCTATAACACCTTGAGTGACAATAAGCTACATTGATGCCTGGTAGTCCGTCTTAACACTGGCTTTTTACAAACTTACCAAGCTGTAAATATGAAAAACGGGGAACTCCTTTATTTCAAATCATTATTAGCACCACAAGGACTCAAGTGGGGAAATCAAATGTTGGTATCGAACAGCAAATTGTTCAGCACTATTACCTCTTATGTGTATATTGATGGTGTCTGGTGTCAAGAAATAACAGATTATGAGCATTCATGGTCTGCAACGCAATGAACTCCGGGTAGAAACACTTTTTAGACCATCTTGGTTGTGAAAGCCGTCGTTTAGTAAGGAATAAAACCACAACGTAAAGTAATGCCAGACTTCAGATCTTAAACCTGCACAGGTGAGTGTACCAATAGTTTGAAATAATTTTTTATTTAACTGTAAGAAATAAAACTGCAATGTATTTTTTCATTGTAAACTACAAAGTCACCTAACAAATTGCATACAGTATTTTTTTAATTAATTCTGAAACTCTAATCTTATCAAGCGTTAGAATAGATACATAAATGAAAGCACAATGCATGCTCTGTTTGGCTTGTAAGAGCCACCTTGTTTCCACCAGCTTGGCAGTAATTCACTCCATTGGTACGTTTTGGCTGTGGCCGATGGGTCTATTGTTTCAGCAGATTTAGCAGGCAAACAGATTTGGGCAGTGGCAGGGATCCTCCAAACAATCACACACACATACACGCATACACACACACACACACACACACAAAGCTGTTCTGTCACCTTGAGTGGTTTGATCTGGTCCAGTCCCAGGTAGGAATCAGAGCGAAGTATCACAGAGTATTGGTAGTTGCCTGTTTTGGAGGGTGCTGGAAACTTCAGCTCCACCTGAGGAACAACACACACACACACACACACACACAAAACACATCTGTCAAATCCAATCACAGGATCAGTCATATAACTGCATATGATGCATTTAGCATTGTTTTACAGAGCAGCATGTGGCAATTCTACAATGTTCCTGTATATATCAAAATAAAATAACCGCCACATAATAAAATAAAGTGACTGTTTCAGGATTTAAAAAGGTTGGCCTTTTTAAATTAAAAAAAGACAATCTGATAAAAGGTAGGTTACCACAAATGAATCATTTTAACGATGGAGGATGTCATATGCTGTAAATATTTTAAAGACCCTTGATGTGTGATCCTGGGCTATATTGACACAACATGCTGAAAGGGTCCCCCGGTAAATATTAGCATTACCCCAGGTAGTGATTACCCCCCTGCTGAGCAATTACATATGGCAAACGTATAATTATCAGCACGGTGAGGCTCATTATTATTCAGCGGAGAATGAGACGTGAACACAGCGGCAATTTACTCTTTGATGAAGGAAAATCTCCCGTCCCCTTTTTTAAAAACATGTCCGTCAAATCACGCAGCGTTTTAGCGGCCTCACAACACAAACAACAGACGGAACTGTTAAAGTGACGGAGTAATTGATGGTGAAGTGTTAAGCATGGGCGGGTCACCTCTGGCCGTTACATTCCTTCAGACTTTACGTGGGCCTCATTAAACCTCGCTGTCACTCCTGGATAACACCAGGTTCAGAGGTGCAAAATAACCACACACACACACATATAAGCAACTAACCCTCTATGGATATAATGACAGAAGTGTAACGGGTTGCCTAGCAACAGGATTTGTGAGGGGCTACGGTGCACAGAAACGTGAAGAAACACACACTTCCACTTATTAAGACCTTTGTACTCCAGACTTATAACATAAGCTGCAACACAGCCTTGAGGGTATTTAAATATGATGCAAACATACACCTCACTTTAGAATAGTAAATATAATAATGGAAGAAACTGTCATTATAGATAATCAATTATTGGTTCATTAAAAAAAATGCTAATCTATTGCTCGTTTCAGTTTCTTACATGTTACATTTATCATTTCATATATTTTGTTTAAGGTCAATTTGTTGGGAAAGTCATTTGAAAATGTCACCTTGGGTTGTAATGGACTCCACTAAATGAATGCCATTTTTAAACTAAAACATAAATCAAAAATAATCTTTACAATAAAGTAGAAGCATTTATCTAAACTCATACATTTATTTGGCCATTGTTCCATAAGAAAACACACGCTCACCTCCTCTGTGTCTTTTAGCGTGCAGACGTGGTAGGGCATGGAGACGAGGGTCTGGTCCCGGCGGTCTGCGATGTACAGCCACCACCACTCGTGCTTCTCCTCGGCGAAGCAGATGCTGTAGACGGGGTGCGTCACCTTTGACTTGGTCTCCAGCAGGGCCCGCTCCCGCCGCTGGATGCTCTGCTGCAACGCCTCCCACTCCTGAGGAGGGAGGGGGGGGGGGGGGGGGGAGAGTGGAGGGTTAGGCTGGGTACAGGTACAAGCCTCTGCATTCATTGATGATGTTAAATCAGGACAATGTGGTACACAGAGTGAGGGTTTTTCGTGCTTCAAGGTGTGGAATGTGTTAGTTAAAAAGGCTTCAAAATGAATCACCATTTTATGGAAATCTCAATATGGAGTTATCAGAAATAACAGTAAGCGCGATATTTAGTTATGGCAAAGTAACAGATCCTCCTAAATAAAATGTTTTTAATATTCACACCGTTATTATTTTAATGTATTTTTCAATGATAATGGGAATAAGGTTGGTCATTCCGTCTAATGTCCCGAATCATACTGCACTTGCAATATCTCTGCAATGTAATTTTTTACAAATCGTGCAGCCCTAGACTGAAACACGTAAGGGATAATGTGCAGTGACGCGGTCATCTAGATCCCTCCGCTTCGCGTTGGGCTCCTGATCTGCCTGTCGGTGTTCTTTTCCCCATAATGACCAAGTCGCTGCACATTATCCCGCTTATTACATGGCCACATTCTCAACAAAGTAATGATATGACTCCCAATATTAATTGAAATGCTTTTATGGATTTAGAAAATGATTTTATTGATTTAAAAAAATAGTTGTATGTATTGATTTAAATTGACATGCATCCGCTAAGGAAAATAGTCCGTTGTTACCGTTTGAAAAACGTAGCAACGGCAGGAAGGCGGAGCTTTTTGATTACAGATTTGAAACCATCGTTGCTTGCTTTAAAAGTAGCACAATTCATTATGTCAAACCTTGGAAAGTATCTAGATATCCCTGCCCTAATGCCAAAGGAACTGCACACTGAATATGTGTCGCCGTTTGATGTCTATGTCTGGACCGCTGCGTAAAAAGGAGGGTTTCTGCCCGTTACTTCTCTGCTGTTTTCTTGTCGCTCTTGTCTTGTCAGTTAGAAAAGCAAACTGCATGCAGTTTGCTTTTCGGCCAAACTGTATACACAGTTAAATCGAACGGACTTGTTTGTGCAGATGTGAGCGTCCTTAACAACGGTCAATAAGTCCTTGACAGCGGTCTGTCTGTTCTGGATTAACAACGTGTCACGTGTTCTGAATTGACCAATCAGAATCGAGTATTCAACTAAGCCATGTAATAAATGACAATAAAATGAGATATTGCTCAAGCCTGACACTGCCATTAGTCCTCATTTAAAGTGTTCTGACCTCTTCATCGTCTCCAGCCATCTCGTCCACCTCCGTGTCGCTCTGCTTGTCGCTGTCTTCGTCCCTCTCGCTGGGAGAGTCCTTGTTGGCTTCGCCCTCTTCTGATTCGCTGCCCTTGTCTGAGACCTCGTCCTCTTCCTCCTTAACCACCGTCGTTGTTGTCGTTACTGTTGTTGCTGCTGCTGCTGCTGTTGCTGCTGTTGCTGCTGTTGCTGCTGTTGCTGCGGTTGCTGCGGTTGCTGCGGTTGCTGCTGTTGCTGCTGTTGCTGCTGTTGCTGCTGTTGCTGCTGTTGCTGCTGTTGCTGCTGTGACCACCTCCTGTGACATCATTGGCAAAAACACAAAAATAATGTATGATGTAAGGGATGTGAGTGATGATCAACGAGCAGCTGTGATTGGATACATACATTTCCTGCCACGGTCCCGTTGGCCTGCTTGGTTTTGGCAGGCGCTGGAGTGGCCTTCTTCTTGGTTAATTTTTTCTTCTTGGACTTGGCTGTCTTCTTAGCCCCTTTACTCTTGTTCTGCCACACTTTTGTTTTGGTTTTACTCGCGTCTCCCTGTACGACACAAAGACAAATTAAAGTTAGGTAAACAGCACATTATTTCTTGAACTAGAGCTTTTAATCATGGCTAAGGCCTAGGCTCCACGGGAACGAAAACGGGTTGAATCCGCATATTTCTCTTGCGTATAGCCCTGTAAGCTACACGACGCCGTAACGGAACGGTAGAAACGGACCCTGCAAACGACAACGGGTCCAAAGGTGGATAGATCTGGGAACGGAGCGCTCTGGGGGGTCCAACGGGGCCGTGTGGTAGCCTATACGGTCATCCGTTTCTGATAATGACGACGCAATAGCCCCGCCTCTCCCCGCCTCTGCTGCTCACCCCCGCAAAAGTACACTGCACACTGAATTCAGATTATTTATCTTTATCTCGATATGGCCATAAACGCGAGTGAAGTCTAATCTGACAGGACGGAGACACGCAGCTCCTCCCGCTGTGATGCAGCGGGAGCAAAACACACACTTCAAGTCAGATCACCACCCTTAGCTATTTTAATTACCTCTCAAACTACCTCATCTAGTTATAAATATGTTTATTTTTACTGTCGGGTTTACTTACTGGATCAGCTGCTGCATGAGGAAGCATGAAGATTTAAACTTTAACACACGTTGACCGGCGAAAAACTCTGCCCGGTTCCCTCGGCCCCCACCGCGGAGAATAAACAGAAGTGCAGCCATGACAACCATTCTTCTTCGCTGCTTTTGTGGAGGAAGTTGCTGCTTTTGTGGAGGAAGTTACAGCGCCACGTACAGGCTCGGCATATGTACTGCAGCTTTTCCAGCGGTTGGATCTAAACGGAGCCGTCTCGTGTGGCAAGCCACTATCCGGTGTATATTGCGTGTGGACGGAAGCTTTTTGGCGATTGCGTTTGCGTTAATCCTATGCGTTTTGCCGTATGCGTTCCCGTGGAGCCTGGGCCTAAATCTGACCCACATAGAGTTAATATATTGTATAAGTGTGTGTGTGTGTGTGTGTCTTACCGCTTCCTCTGTAGTGGCAGCCTCCTCTGTTAGACAGGGTGTTGATGAGTCCTGCTCCTTTTCAAACACCTCCTACAAAAACAGAACACACATTTAGCTTTTTTAACAACGATACAGACAACAGCACACTCTACTGGTCGTCAGTGGAAGTGAATTTCCAAACCGGCATAATTAGGAATCCATTTGATTCCCCCCTTATTTTGGAAAATCAATCCTTACCGACATCCGTTTTCTGGTTAAGGTGACAGTGACTGTGACGATGGAGCCTGCTGTGATGTTATTGCTGTCTTCGTCATCAAGGACTGCAAAGAAACAAATATAACATTCAACTAGACGACCTGACCATGACAACAATCATGCTTAAGTAAGGTAGATACATCTAAAAAGGGACAAAGACTAAGATGGAGCTACTGCATTTTGTGGTGCAGACGTGTCACAGGTCAGCTGGTGGACAAACGATGTGTGTTAAGATGTGTGTATATCAGGACTGACCCTGCAGTTTGGTGTCCATGGTGATGTGAGGGAAGCTGCCCAACACAGCAAAGACCTCATCGTACTTCTCCTCCCCGAGGAAGCGCAGCATGTTGCGTCTGTCGGAGTCCTTTAAGCTCACCAGGTCCTGGAGGCTCCGGACTTTATACTGGAGAGGAGAGGGGAAATGATGAATAACACCTTTCTGCATGTTTTTACTTGTTGCGTGCATGTACAGACACCGGGCAGTTACCTTCTTAGAGACGCAGTAGCGGAGGTGCTCCTCCTCAAAGTGGGGCAGCTGCAGCAGCGGTGACTTTGACTCCTGCAGACCCTGCACTATCATCTGGGTCAGCTTCATACAGTTCTCTATGGTAACCAGTCGAGGAGCATGGAAACCTGGAAGCAACGGGCACAATGATGTTGGTGGAGACCTGTGAGAGAGGCGCTGTGTGTGTGTGTGTGTGTGTGTGTGTGTGTGTGTGTGTGTGTGTGCGTACCTCCTCTGCTGTTGGCCATCATGGTAAGCTGACAGCCCACGTTGATCATCTCCTGGAGAAGAGCGGGACTCTTCCTCACCACAAACCTCTGATCTGGAATCGGAACACACACAATGTTCTAAATAACATGTTCCCGGCCTTCCTTATATTTGTATCTTATTACTTGGAAATAAATATGCAGATAATGGTTGAATATCGTCCTTCAAAATGTCATTAAAACCTCTCCACTGTCCGGATACCATGCAATAGAGTCTCGGATGCGTGTTCACATGTTACGCAGTTTATTAACTCATGCAGATCTAACTCAGATGTCTCCAAAACATCACAGCTTGCCAAGATTCGTACTGTTCACAAACAGAGAACTACTCTAAACAGCTTATCCTAGTTGAGTATCTAACCTTATCTCTGTGTAAGAGTGGAAGCATACACACAGGGTATGGTTGTGTATTTATGTTGCAATCCCGTGACTTGCCGTCTCGCTGTTTAACTTCCCATTTTCTAAGCTCTAAAGAACAAGTTACTGACTACTTATTTTGGAGATGTGAGCTATATATGCTAACTCATTGTGTTCTTATACAACCATGTGAAATACAACAGTGTGGCACGCCTGTTTTTACAAATCTTTGAATACACTTTATTTAATTTATCAGCAGGCTAAGAGTAGCTTTTACAACATAACATGTAAATAATAACATTTAGCAATTTTCTACAAGTTTTCTTTCTGGTGTCCTACCTTCATCCAGCTCCTCTGAGACGTCCATGCGTGCCAGGTGAGCCAGCACTAAGACCCTGGCCTTCAAACTGTAAGGATAGCAGAATGGAGGCTCCTTCTTCTTCACGTTGATGTTTCCCAACTCACGGATCAACTAAAAAAAACACGCAGGAGAGGTTGTTTATAAGAGTTTTCTTTTGAATTCTTTACACACAGATTCTAAATAGTCATTCTCACACAGGCAGACTCAAGTAGTGTTTTTTTAGTACCTGTGGAACTTCGATGTTGTCTGTTGGTCGTATGGTGGCGTCTTTGTTACTGCGGGGGTCAAACTCAAACGCTGCGGTCAACACCATGGCTAACCCTGGAGGGGAGAGAGTGAAAAACATAATAAGTTAAAAAAAACATGTCAAAAGAACTTCAGAATTTCTGTTTTGTTAGGTGGAAGTAAAGCTTGTTTGACTTAATCATTGGACCGAACGCTTCAAACTAGCATGTTGAAAACATTCCCCAAACAATAATAACCACATGCACCCCTGTTCTTCTGCTTTAATGTGTTCTTGTTATAAGAAGAAGGGGAACTCACGCTTCATGTTCATGTTGGGTGTCTTGTACATGAAATGCATGAAGAGCTGCGTGGTGTTGATGAGGATCTGGTCTCCGCTGTATCTGATGGAGCGGTACCACCATGTGCCCTGAGATATGGAAGGAAAAAGGTAAGAAGGTTAGAAAGTCAGGGAACAGGAAGAAGAGAAGGCAACTGTTTTTGTACAATCTAATGCCGATGAGGACTTACCACAACAACAGGAAGGATGACCATAAAGGCTAGTCCATATACCAGCAGCACCTAGAGAAGAAAGCCGGATATAACACACTCCTTTTTATTGTTGCTAGTATAGTACAACACATTTAAAAGCAAATAAAAAGGTAGGTTTGCAAATTGTTACTCCATTTGACATTAATATATACCAGCATTGAGTTCTTCTGGTCAACAATCCAGGCGGGCAGGGCAATACCAAAACTGGTGGCTAGAAAGGGAGACATAAGAAACATTTATCAAAATGGTAAAAAATCAAGGGCTGTGCCGTGTGGTAAATTCAGCATCATGGACAAAGTTGGAATAGCACAAAATGATTATTTCCTATATTTACGTTGTGAAAAATTACTATTCAATTTCAATTACTACATTCGAAACCTTATAATCCATTTTAGATGCCATTGAACAACATGAACACATGTTATTTTTGGAGGCCAGTGAGTGAACATGCATTATAAAACGCCCACAGTAGAAGTCAGTGTATAAGACAGACATATTTTCATGGTATTTCTCCCTGGAATTAACAGGCGTTCATGTATCGATGAATCTTCCATTGTTTGTCCCATTGTTTGTCACATTCACGACTAAGCGAGTCACTCGCCAGCATTGATCAAAAAGGTGTGGCAACACTTTAAAATGCAGATGTGTGAAAATAAAAAAAAGGTAGTTTCACTCACCTCCCGGCCCATCCGGGTTACCGTATGTTTCCCAGTTCTGTCGTGACTGTTCGTTTGTCAGACTGTGGAATGAAGAGTAAAAGGAATCAATCACCTTACACTTCTGGGCTTTCATTATTCATTCATCTGTTTATTGATTATGTAGATGCTGTCTGGCTTACAAAATCGAGACACTTACGCAGCATAGGCTTTGGCAATCCTCATGAATGTGGACTCATCACCGCCTTTGTCAGGATGGAACTTGAGTGATAGCACACGGTATTGCTTCTTGATTTCTGATAGCGATGCACCCTGGAGACAGAAATATAATTACAGCAGCTCCTTGAAGTGAAGTGTAAAAACAGATACAAGTCAAAGGAAGACTACACTGTGGATTCTCAGAAGTCCTGAAAGATGGTTATTTTTATCTTGTGTTTCATCTTAGGAAAGTTATCTTTGTCCCACAAGATAAAAAGAGTCTTAACGGACTTCAGAGGACCCACAGAAAACAAGAGACGTTGTGTTTTGTGCGTATTTACCGGGTCCAAGTTGAGGACTTCATATGGGTTATACTCCTGGTACTCTCTGTCCAGCTTGGACACTTTGTATGCTAGCAGCAGGAACACAGCCCAGCCAAATAACAAAGCTGCTTTCCTGAAAATGGAAACACACAAGAGCAAGGAAAAGATGTCACACACAAGTGTAATCGCTCCCAGGAGACAACATCAGGCCCGTCCCTTTTTTTAAAGCCACTTCACACTGCGTCGTCTAATTTTTAGAACTGTTTGGAGTTGAGATATTGGGCAGATGCAATTTGCAATGCAAACTAGCTTCCTGCTGTTAGAGCGACGGACATTTGGGAATATAAAAAACAGAAAGCTTGGTCTATGCATGGAGGCAGAAGGGCAGGGCAGGTTCTGACATTGTTGTTGTTTGGTATTTATGCATGGGAGTTGAACTTGTTTCCATGACAATAGCAAAACCCCATGGCCTGCTCTGCAGCATCTGTTGCCATGACAACCGCTCACCAGCCTGAGTTGTCTGGCTGGCTCAACCAGAAATAAATATACGATGGATTCCTATAATAAACACCATTGTTTTGATACAGTTGCAAAGAGGAAATGGATAGTGACATTTTGAGAATAAATGGCTGATGAAAAAAGATGCTTCCAACAGATTAAGTCAGAAATGGAGTCATGCTAAAAAATCAAGTCATGAATTTTGAGAGTAATAACAGAATATAGGAGGTGTATTGACAGAACCGGAGTGGAAAGCGGATGCATGAAAACAAACATCCGAGGAGACAGAACAAAGACGAGAGGCTCAGACAGAAACACAGTGACGGAGGAGGCGAGGAGTGAGAGAAGATAGGCAGAGTGAGACGCTGAACCGCACTTGAACACCCAATCTTCTATTAACCCACACACGCCGAAGGAATAAACAGCACTGAGAAAAACAGCGTCATGTTAAGAGAAATGCTAAACAGTGCAACTCGATGTTTACACCGACAGCACGCGTCACCAAGAGGTTTACACATGGGAAAAAAGTGCCCAAAATGACCAAATACAAGCATTTCCACACAAAAGATTTATTCTTTGGACAGTGTGGCTTTTGCCTCATTGTCACATGACAGTGTCCAGCTTGAAACACACACTAAGTGATCCAGAGAGCTGCCTGGAACAGTCTTAGTAAAGGAAGGATGGCTGATGTTACTCAAGGCAAACAGCAAGTCACACCCAGACAACAGGAGGGATGCGAAATGTACAAAGAAAAAGGGAGCAGACCAATCAAGGAAACAAGCCTGTTATTACACTGCTGAGCATGTTTAGGCCAATCATATTTCAACAGTGAGGAATCTGTATGATACTGAAGCTGCATTAGGAAAAGGCGTAACACTTAACAGCCCCCTAAACAAGTGATATATCTAAAGTAAAATCTGATTTTGGGCTTAATTGAAGTGAGAAGAGGCCTCTCTGGATTTAAATCACCCACAGCTTATCTATTTACACCATGAAAACTACAAACCAAGATGTTTGGACTCACTTCAGTGTTGGGACGATGCTCTGCTGCGACTTCATCAGCCGCAGTCGGTACCACAAACACCTTCCATGGACCTTCCTCAGGCTCTTCAGACGCAGTTGTTCTGGAAAAACGATGGACAGAGAGAGAGGTTACGGACACATTAATACCATCAAAACAGTCACAATGATTACTGATAATGCCACATTAGTTAGGGAGGAAATACACGTGCTTTATGGTAATGATTTAAAGAGAGTTGGGTGATATTTTCATTGGGATTTATAATCATTGTGGATATGTTTTTAGAGGAGGGGGATGCATTCGTTTCCTTTTTTCAGCTTGAATTAAGTTTAAATGTGGGTGTATTTTTCCGATATTGTTAATGCAATGATGTTGACTGGGGATACTTAACTTGCAATACGATATTTAATTCAACATATCAATAAAATAACTGTTTACAACCTATTAAACTCCAATCTAAATTGTCATTAAATAATCCCCATTAATCCAGCGGAGTAAAGTTTGATAGCATATGTTTTCCCAAACCATGTTATATATATGATATGGTGTATTGTTTACAAATAGATAACAGCTGTACTGCGATAAGGATATATCAGGATAAGGTGAATAAAGCCACAAAGGCAAGGCACCTTCAACACAAGGCTTTGGTGTTTAAGGTGTTGCTTAACCAGCCAGTTTAGCTTCATTTACTATCGGAGTATGGTTAAACAGACTATAAATGTGACGTTAAGGCAGATAGATAACCAATGGCTTTGTAATACTTGAAGCTGGTGCGGTATCTGAGCTAACTGACCTGTACTTAACTACGAGCAGTAAAAGAGACGTGGACATCATCTTAGAGACGTCTGCTAGCCTACATTCACAAGTTAAACTAACGTATGGTTAGCTCGTATAGCCGCTGCATTTAGTAGGAAGCTAACCAGATTAACAGGCTGCACACTGGTGAGCATTAACACAAACAAGACGAGCTGAATCTACCTGGACACTTTACACTAGCTGTGGTTATTGAGTTAGCTAAGTTAGCACTGAGGCAGACATCGGGCCTTACCAGCATTCTGATCCCGGGGCCAGAGGTAATATGTGGCTGGGATCACAATAAGTCCGACGAAGGACGTGAGGAAATAGAAAAACGTGTTGCCGCTGTCATCGTACTGGAACTGTTGCCCGGCCATTTCGTAGCGGCGCTTGGGTCGCCCTTCTTCTCCACCGCTGCGATTCTCCCCCTTCTAGCCCAATGTGTGCGAGTTGACAGACCGTTAGCTAGCCAGCTAGCATTCAGCCGAGACAGCTCTGATCATCGGTGTACGTGGTGTACGCCTGCGCAATGTGGCCTTCCTTCTTCTTCGTGGGTATCCAGCGTTGCTCCTGATCGCTACTGACCCCCAGCGGTGGCGACGGAAGAAGAACAGAGGAGCTGAGTGTGAGGGGCTTTTTTAACTCGATTGAAGCAGTAAGACAGTGTTGTAAAGTAACTAAGTACATTTACTCAAGTACTGTACTTAAGTACAATTTTGAGGTACTTGTACTTTACGTGAGTATTTGAATTGTATGCTACTTTTGTACTTCTACTCCACTACAATTCAGAGGTAAATATTGTACTTTTAGTCCACTACATTTATTTAATACATTTAGTTAATTTGCAAATATAGGCTACAGTAGAGATAGATGATAAACAATAGGAGCAACACTTTAGATATACCTGGATTAAATTAACAATTAGTATAAGTTTCACTTCATAACCAAAAACATATAATATATGATTCTAAAATGGGCCAATCTGCATAATGAGTAGCTACTTACTTTTACTTGAGAAACATTTAGATTTCAGGACTTTTACTTGTAACAGAGTGTTCCTACACCCTGGTTCTTAATCAAGTAAAAGATCTGAGTACTTCTTTTCGATGAGTTTGATGTTTAAAAAAACAAAATGTACCCGGTTACTTCATAAACGATTACATGGTCAGGCTCTGCAACTCTTGCACATGCTCCATTTTCTTTTTCATGTAGAGGTACAAACTCAGTTTGAGAGGTCCCCCAGATGTGTTCCAACCGTCTGCAAATGTATACATTATTTTGTTATAAAAATGTATGTGACTATAAAAAAATAAATAATAATAAGATAAACAATCTCAAACTATTCATGTATTTCTTATGGACATTGCATTTGTCAACAGTATAGTCAGATTAATTGTAGTGGCAAAAAAACAGTTTACACAAGCAATCCCAGAGCAAACAACTGAACACAGATTGTGTATTATTTTGGCAGCAGCGCTGGAAAGCAGCTGGATATCGTTTGTTGGTAAGAGCGAGGTTCGTTTGTTTGACTGATTTAACATTTGTACCAGTGGCCATTAAATCACAGTAAAATGTTATCCCATATAATAATGTACAGGATTGATTTATCTTTTTCTGTAAACCATAATAGTGTGTTTATAGATTTAGATTAAGAGTAAACAAATATTGTAAAATATGTCATAATGATCAAACAAAAGAAAGGAAAACTAACTTTGTGGAATGTTTATTATTTTTATTTTAACTCAACAGGATTGGCTGGACATAAACATACAAAAAGGATATAAACAGTAGGGTTATCTTTATTCAAAATAAAAGTAATAGCATATTAAACTACACTTGTCAATCAAGGGTTTATATTAAAGTGTATGAAAAGATTGTCATCCGATGTTGCTTTGTGTATCTGATGACTTACACACAACGCATGGTTGCAAGGACACTTTTTTCTGTTCCTTCCATATATACTGTATGTTTATTGTTAAGCTTTAGTTTTAGACTGATCAATTAAAACATTTCTAATTACATTAGGTATATGTTTTTGATGATTTTTCAGATGGGTCAAAGATGATGATAAACAAATGGGTATTTTCTTTACAGACTGATTCTGTTATATGTACACCATAATATCATCCAGAGGCTTGCGTTTCAAGTCAGGCACTGTGGCGTCAGACGCAGGATAACCTACAGGAAGTAACATCAACAGCTTCTCATTGGCCGGCCGTTTGAGGAGGATCCTGAGCTGGGGGCCGCAGTTTAGAGGCGTCGATGTGACGGTGACGAGACCCACGTTCTGATTAGCAAATGGACAGAGATAGCAGACATTCAGCCACGTTACCATACATGTCACGTAGCAGTTTATCCTAAAGCGCATGCATACCCTTGTTTAAATGGCATTCATGAGCAATAAAACAGTTATCGGCTGATGTATATTTCAATGGGCGGTGTTATTCTTTACCTGTAAGGCAGCTAACAGGATTCCACAGGAAATGGAGACACTGATTTCATTGTAGTAATGTGTCCTTTTCTTGTCATTTGGTAGAATCCCATAGGTCTGTTTGAATACAAGGACTAGATATGGAGCCACATCCAGGTAATCCTTAATCCAGTTTGTCCTGCAAGAGGAAGGACGTTTTGACAAATGGGTTAGACATGTGAGAGATTGGAAGTTGTAGGAAGACTTAACAGTACATTGGTCCATAATGAAAGATAGACATAGTGTAAGTCAGGCTGACATTTGGGATAAGGGGATAGGGATGAATCACTGTACGTGCAGTTAAATTGACTTTTTCTAGAACAAATAAGCAAATATTAATGAGGGAGGGTGGTGTGGGTGCTCACTTTAATTTGGCCAAATCATTGACCCACTTGTCCCCCATCCTCTGACGGTAGTTGACCTCCTCCTCTTCTTCTACTATCTGTCTGATCTGGTGCTTTGTGTCGGGGTCTGACACCACGACAAACGTCCAGGGCTCTGTGTGCGCTCCACTAGGGGCCGTACCTGTCCAGAGAGAGGAGGCAAGTAGATAGGAAACAATTACAAGACCAAAACATTAAATAGCCACATCTCCCACTAGATCAATGTTTACGTTTTTTGTATTTTGGTTTAGAGCATATGAAAAGTGGTCCATTTGTCTTCACATGCCTGCAGTATGGATGACATTATCGATGACTTCTCGTGGGACTGGCTCAGGGCTGATGAATCGGACAGACCTCCGCTGGTTCATCAGAGTGTACAGATCCTTGGATCTCTGCAGCATCGTCTCCTCGGGGTAACGTGGTGGTGAGTAGGTTACATGTAGAAGGTCTTCCTCCTCGTGGCTGTCCGCCCAATCGCCATCCTCTAACAGGATGACAGACAAAAGCAGGACCAGTGAGCACTAGCCTATATACAAAATGCTAAATTGTTATAGCAAAACAGCTTGTTCTTGGACCATAATGTAAAGTTATATTCAATGATGCAAAACAAAATGATTAGATTTAAAACCCAGATGACATTATGTTATCACGCACATATAATATGCTGATGAAACTGTATGTAACAGACTAGCACGTTGCCCATATCAGGTAACACGTTTCTCTCTGTTTTAGCCAAAGTTGGGTCAAGTGCACTGATACCTTTAAGTACCTCACAATTACATGCTTGACTACAAGAGTCAGTTTCAGTTCATTTTGCCTAATGCAGAGGACACTTTCATTAGGATTGATCAAAAACATCTTTAGAAATATGTTGCATTTAAGCATAACGTTTACTAAAGAAATACATTATCAAAAATAATTAAATTAACAAAAATGTAAAAGCACTTAGAATGGCCCACATCAGAAAATGTGTTCATCATTTACATGTGCAGCTGGTACAGGAGGAGCTAGTAGTAACTACCTTGTACTTGTTCTACCTTTGTGGTAGCTTGTTGCCCTCTGGGGACAATAAAGATGACCTTTCCTTACATTTTTATGTCCCTAGGCTGCAGGCCCTTTACTATTACTGATTAACCCAACTGTGAATGATTATGTCCAAAACCAAAGACATTCACTTATTGATAAGGGGTTTTTACATTATGTGAAATATGTCTTGTGTTGAGATGGGGGTTCTTACCTAGGCTACATATACTTTGTTTCCCTTAAAAAAGTTTTAGAAAGTGGGAAAGAAGTTTCTGATTAGCTCTTACCTTCCTCTTTTGCTGTGATTTCTGTATCGTCCTGCAAGTCCTGGTCCACCCACGGTCTGAAGTCTGCTTTTTTTGCCCCTTCAGTTTTTCCAGGGGCGGTCGAGGTGGTCTCTGTCTCCCGTGACCTCACCAGCATGAAGCCTATCACCAGGCACAGGACCACGGCCAGGACAGGCGTGAGGACTGACAGCAGAGCCATGACTGCTTTAGAGGACAGAAGAAGACCCGGTTACTCGGCTGAGTGCAGATTGAGTGTTATGAAACACTAGGGATGGGCAAAAATGCTGAGTCAGGGCTATCTTTGTGCTCCGCGCTGTAGTGGAAACGCGCCACTGTTACCCGCTGTTTCTGTTTAATGTCAAGAAATGGCACCATAACCAACATATGAGAGCCCTAGGTATGTGTTCAATAATTTACACGTGCTACAAAGTCAATATTCTACCTCTTCCTGTTGAGCCCCAAATGACTTTTTCTTTTATAGGTAACAACTACCTGACTGTTTCATTTGTAGCTTTCTCAAAGGGCTGTTTTAAAATCGAAGCTGCAATTGGCAGGGAAGAAAAGTGTGTTATTTATATTTATCTAAATTATAATTTTTAGTTACTCAATCCTATAGATGTACCAGCTCTACTTCTGACTGGTGTGACATAAACATAAGAGGCAAGTGTGCATAGACTTTAAACTTAGATTATTTGTACATCATAGTAAGGGCACATGTAATGCAATAACACATTTCATCTTATCCCAAGCACGATATTTTGCAATATATACAGTGAAATAACCAGCATTCAGTTCATATGTATATACTTAATCCCTAAGATCAAGCATAATATGTTGATGATTTTCATTCATTATTTACAGTATGTGGTCAAATAAATGCTCACAATGACCAACAGGTGGCGCAAATATTTCTCCCTATGCCAGGATGAACTCAGAATCAGAATCAGAATACATTTATTAGTCCCACAGAGGGGAAATTTGCACTCACTGGGTTCATAATTAACTCATTTGAAAACATGCTGGTGATCAAGAATCAGGTAAAGCCTATGTATTAGCCTTTTTACAAATACATCAATCACACACGCACACATAATGTAATGGAGTTGGTTCAACAAATGAATAATAAAACAAAGCAAAATAATAGAATGTATAAAAGACTACTGAAGCTTTCCAGCATGGGCTCGCTCTCCAGTGCGCACTGGTACACAGACAAGCAAATTGAAGAGAATCTAGGTGGCTCATTGTCCAAAAATACCCACCTTAACATATCATTTAATCACATATGATTCTATTAAAAATATTTCACTTTCTAAAACAAGCACAGAACCTGAATAATGATATCTTTCAGATTCATTTCAGCTGTCAAAAACTAGCAGAACTTTCCTTTACACCAATTTAGCAATAGTGGGATGGTCACGTCTTAAGATGTTTTATAACTTGAAAATGACATCATTTGTATTTGGAAAATAGGCATTTGCAAAGGCTTCCTTTTTTTTTAATGGAAACCTTGATTTCAATGTTCACACCCTCGGATGCTCATTTCTTGCAGTGTTCGCTCCGCCTCCTCGGCTGTCTCCGGCGCTGCGCTTTAAATAGCAGCTGTTTAAAAGCTCCTCACCACTCTCCTGTCTGCTGTGCATCTCTCAGTCTCCACTCACTCGCAACATTTTCCTAAAACACTAACCCCCTAACATCTCGCAATGTCGGCCGCCAGCACCGAGACTAGCGCCCCACTGCCCACCGCCGGCAGCCGCGTCTTCTTCCAAGGTGCACCCGCAGTTGGCTGCGTTGGCACCGGCCCCATCACCGGAGACGACCCGGTGCAGAGGAGACAGGGCAAAGTGACGGTCAAGTACGACAGGAAAGAGCTGCGGAAAAGACTCGTCCTGGAAGAGTGGATCATCGAGCAGCTCAGCGAGTTGTATGACTGCGAGGTGAGAGGAGCCTAAATATGAAATCACACACGGTTTGTGGGCGACACCTTCAAAAACATACGGATATTTTAGGGAGACAGGTGAAAAAAAAATCTGCAGAAATGCTTTATCAATTAGATAGCTTAAACCAAATATGTTACTAATTAGGACTCACTTTACTGTATGCATTGAGTGACATTGATGCTTTGCTGCTCGTGTGGGATTGTGTCTGTCTTTGCAAAGGCATCAACAAATGCACCCGTTTTTATAGCGAACCCCAACATCCTCCATTAAACAGACTGTGTATTTGGGTTTATTGGTGTCTCTTTGTCCTCAGCACCGATACCTGCTGGCTTTTTGTGGCAGAAGCGAGAATAGCAAGGGGCGTCAAAGCGACACAAAAGCTGTCTGGTGTAATAATGATGCCTCTTTACACTGTGACTTTGACACATTGCATTGTCTCCTCTCTTATCCTCTCTGTCGCTGAGGAAGAGAGAGAGAGAGTAATGCTGGTATAACTAGATCAGGAATGAGACGGGGAGTGAGAGGGAAACCGCATGGTTGCATCTTTGGCCCCTTGAGTTTTTGGATTATGTATATTCAAGGTGTATGATTAGAAAATGCGTTTTGAAATAATTGTATTTTTAAAAATCTTGAATGTGCTACTCCTTGAGAGCAAAATGCATGTTATGAGAACATGATAGTGTTCCAGTTCCCTTTTAACTGAAGCTTTATGTGTGGAAATTAATTCCTCAGTCGTTTCTGAGGCGCATTTCTGACCTTTCAAACCCTCTTCACCTTTCGAGGGATGATCTGTCGCCAGACGATATTGACAGCCCCATTATTCTGCATTCACAAGTGGCATTCTTTAACATTTAAAGGGGGAGGGCAGGGATTTGTGTGTGTGGTTAGAGAGCAAAAGAGAGATGGGGGTGCAGAAATAAAGAGATTCTATAGGTGGTGTGTAAGTGCATGCGTGTGTGCCCTACAGTATGCTGCCGGAGTCAAGTTGGGGGGAAGGGTACGGACTGGAGGAGAGGAAAAGAAGGGCAGTGGGTTAAGGATGTGCTGATGCTGTGACTCTCCTCACCAGCCAATCACCTCCTCTGGCTCTGACCCCCTTCCTCGCAACAGAGGGTCCGCGCACACACATATGCACACATACAGTCAGTCTATCACCTCAGAACGCAGCCAATCAGAGATGGAACAGGCGGTGTGAGCGTGAATACATGTGCCTTCACACATGAACCTGTCAGACTACACTGTGGGGATGAGTTATATTAAAATATGGAGCATAAGGGATGTGTGTGTGCCTGTGGCTACACATCATTACCAAGATTGATTGTATTGGTGCGCATGTGCAGAAATCACAGCAGGAGACTGAATATCAACATCCAAGCATCATTGTCTGTCATGGTAGTTTGTCTACTGACTTATTAATGCAATGCACATAATTCCTCCCCATACTGTAGGCACATACGACTGTCCTGCAACGGCAAACTGCTACCATTTACATAAATATCACCGAAAGATAATCGTTTTTTGAGCGATCCATACCCCTAATCAGGATTTTTTTTTCCCGGCTGTCATCTTGTTTGCAAAGCTTCCTTCTCTCTTTACAGTCCTGCTGTGGTTCTCACTTAAGTTGAAAAGAGCTGCATAGCCCCTCTGAGTGTGGACTGGTTTACATTTCAAAGCCGGATGAGCTCTTGGCTGGGTGTCAGTCTGCTGTCAGCAGGTGCGCTTGATCTACGAGTCCTATGAAGCTCCTCCCGTGCGGATCGACTAAATTATTTGATGTTTGGATGAAGAGTGCTGGGGAGCACCGGCCTAGCGCGCATTAAGAGTAAAATCAACATTTGCCTTTCTCTTCAGAGACTGTGATTTGTTCAATGCAAATGCATATCTAGGAAAATAGTCAAAACACTACAGCAAATCACAATGTTCTTTCAGTGTTGCAGTCAGTCTCTTTTGATTTCTGGATGCCACCATTGTATCATTACTGATGAAAAAGACTCCACTCTCTTGTCTGCAGATGTACCTTTTTGCCTGTCTTCAATCTAGATTAAACTAGATATTCCCAGCAGCGTGACACCTCCTCATATTATGTCTTTCACACAGCAAATGGGATAATATCACATAATAATCCCCTGGCTCTGTGGCGTTGTAGCCAGTCTGATATCATGCTGCAATAAGCGCAGTGTTGAATGGTGGTAGAAAGACATTTCAGAGGAGAGAAGGTAATGAAACCAGTACATCATTACTTTGACACGTTGTCACCGTGGTGCATTGTTAAGGCTTAGTTTCATCTGTTCGCCTAGGAATAGAAACATGACGGCAGTGTTTGAGCAGGTGGACTTTACTGCTCTACAGATGATGTTTGATCACATGACTGTAAACAGGAAGTCGCACTCCCTCCATGCCTGTTAACACCTCTATGTTCAGACCTAAGATGGACACATTTGTTGTGTTGAGTGTGCTGGACAGAGAGAGGGAGATAGGCCTACTGCTGATTTGGCGACGCTGGTCTAGCTTAAAGGTCAGACTCTGTATCGGTTTCATAAGAAAACTTGATACTCGAGGGCATCAAGGAGTGTGTGTGTAGAGGGGGGGTGCTGATGCTGAAGGTAATAGATTGCAGGAAGGGTTAACTCGGATTAAATTGGATTCAGGTTTCAATAACAGCAAGGTGAGAATATGTGTCGCCAATTCATCTTGTACAAAATCTACTTGGACTGTAGGTTGATAAACCCACATAAGGAAAGATCCATGGTATTTTCACACAAAATCGAAATAGTTTTCATGCTGTTATTTCTTGTGGAGAGTTAGCTTAGCTTAGCATAAAAAACGTCAAAGAGCTAAATGCTAGCATTGCTCTTTCTTAAGGTAACTAAATCTGCCTACTAGCACTTCTAAGTTCACGAATTAACAGAGTGTATATTGTTTGTGTACTTAATACACAGACTAAAGTGCTGAGCTAGAGCCAGGCTAGCTTTTTACCCATGTTAACAGTCTTTATGCTAAGCTAAGATAGCCCTTTCCTAATAGCTTCATATTTGGCACACAGTCATGATCAATCTCAACATCTGTGCAAGAAAGCTGATTAGCACATTACCAACAATGTTAATTAAACCTTGAAGCAAACAAGACATTTACTCAACAAATCATCAATTGTTTATCCCAACTGTGTTTTTCCCTTTTTCTGTAGCTCATTGTCTTTTATTACAATGTGTTTTTCTAACCTTGGTTTAAATTCGCCGTGGGCCTCGGCCTCCTTCCTCCTCCTCTCCCTGTGCGATGGGATAACAGAAGGTGAGTTCTGTCAGAGATGGATCCCCTCGGCTCTCCTGGGATATGTTGCCTCTGTTCATTTGGCTGTTCAAAGGACAGAGGAGAAAGGGGGGAGAACAGAGAGGAGGGGGTGACTTAGAGCAAATGAGAGAGAAAAGCCAAGGACCCTCATTGCTCCCAATGCAGCACTTAATACAGTGGAGACCAGCAGCATCTTATGTTTTCCTTTTCCTATTCTGCTCTGTTGTCTGACAAAGCCATTGCTCACGTTACATTAAACTATAAAGAATGTGCTGCAGCGTTTTCTCCCTCCAACTCCTGTACAGGCAGGTCTGTCCACAAATTATAATATAGAGAGATAATCAGCAACACTTTTGCATAATTAAATTGCAATTTTGCTACTGTAATCATATACAATGGCACTGGATCAATCTATCTTGATTAGGGCAAATTCCTTATGGAGTTCATTGACTATAAATTAATTTAGTTTTCTCTAATCAAAATGTACGAAAAAGTTAAACTTGACTATATAAGTGTCATTGAGCCTAGGGAACCAACTGTAAAAATCCCCAGATCTTTGGTTTATTATCACATAAGATGAATAAAAGTAGCAAAGCCTCATTTTTAAGAAGCTGGACCATGCTTGTCATTATAGTTTTAAAAATGATGATTTATTTTAAACCAATGTATTCAACTTTAATCTTGATTTCACCTTGAAGTTAAAATCTAGAAAAAAAGATAATTAATTTCTGCTTTTTCCGTCATTTGAGGGATGTGTCGACAAAAACATAATCATTTTTATTCTTTGGACATCCAATGGTTAAACTACACATGTCAAAAAATTCCTAGCCCCTCACTCATTCAGACAGACTGTACTGGAGGGCATATTAATGCTGAGGTCTAGTTGATTAAAAGGCAGATTGTGTCAGCACGGTGATGTCCGTCTGAGAGCACCTGAACGAGATCGATGGAGGTTGTTGAGAAAAAAACGTTACTCAATTCTTGAGGAACAGACTTTACTCTGTGTGTGAGAGAGTAACGTAGCAACAGAAATTGACAGGGCGGTAAATCTGACTCTGCAGTTTGATGTGTGTGTGTGTTGTTGGGGTGCATGCTGCAGAATGAGGGGAGAGGGACTGCTGTAATGCCCTACTTTGTCATGGCTCTGCATCAATAGAGCCCCACTCAATTAGGCTTATTCATGTGTACGAGCACGGACACTGCCCACAGACAGAGCTCTGCCCCTCGGGCCTTGTGTGGGGGTGTGTTTGTGTCTGTGTGGATGTGTGTAACAGAAGTTTCTTTTTTCTTTTTTCGGTTGATGATATTCTGCTGCTCTTTGGCAGATATGGGGTGGTGAGCGGTCAGGGGTACTTCTCCATGAATGGATGAGTCCTCACACACACATAGGTCAGTGTGCATATTAGGGCCAAATAGAGCAAGAGGAAGTAAGAGATGGAGCATCTTCTCGAGGATAATACTTAGTCTTATGTCTGGTCTCTTTCTCTCTGGATCATCACCACAATACAGGAGGTCATTTCATTTCCACCCTTGTGTGTAGGAACTCTGTCTCAAGGCGGTGTGTGTGTGTGTGTGTGTGTGTGTGCTGTGGACAAAGGAATGTGGGTTTTGTTGTTGACCTCAACAGTGACTTCTAGGAAGAAAAAAAAACATCTTAATCTCCTCCTGTCTGAATCATTATCCCCTCCCCCTCCTCCCCTCCCCCTCCTCCCCTTCCTGTGACCTTGTCAATAACATTCCCATTTGCTCGCCTTTCATGTTTTTCTGGCCGTGTATCATGTGAACCTCATTGGGCAGCAGAGGACGAGTAAACAGTGCAACTCAAGCCAAGTCATTAGCAACGTTCAATAGGATTTAGGAATAGCACGCCGGGGATAAACACACACATATTGACGCACATAGGAATTGTGTTACCATTACGGTTACCGGATATACTATATGTACGACATACTGCAGACATACAAGTGTAACCAGTATACTATTTCATGATCTAGGGCGGCTGTTGTTATGCTGGTGGTATACAAGGGTTCATAATTTACCTCTTTATTAGTCCATTAAAAAGTGCATCCATCCACTCTGACAGATGATGGATGTGATTCAAGTCTGTAATCAATTGAATACATCTCCTTTTGACTGACGACAGGAAGTGAGCTAAGCTTGATTACCTAATTATTTTTTAAACTAGAGGCTTCCTGCAACATTGTCAGCTGAAGGTCAAAATTGTATAAAAAAATGAATAGAGCGGGGGGAAGAGCAGTGAGAATTAATCTGAGAAAAATACATCATCTTGTTATAAACTTGGATCTAGAATTACCATTATTAATTCAATTACTACATCCAGCAAGACAGACCTACTTATTGGAAGATTTAGTCAATGGGTGACCCTGATGTGTTTATGGATCTGTCGGGGAAGGTCATTGTTGTTTGTTATCTGCGCTTGGGATGGCGGACATTTATCTCCCTGCCATTTAAATTGCACGGGCAAAAATAGACTCTCGCTTAGCGTCTTTGTACGAGCGCGTGTTGACACATTCCACGTGGCACCTGCAGACTCGTGCATCTGCTGCGAAACAAATCAGAGGTGCTGACAAGAAGGCCTTTTAGCGAGCAGACAACCACCAGCTTTTGAAACTGTTATAAACGTCAGAAAGGCGTCAAATATCTGTCTGAAAAACAAAACGGAGGGCGAGGTTGCAATGTGTGTGTTCGCCTCTCTACATGCCTCCTGCTGCTGTCATCTCAACACTTCTCCTTTCCTCAACCTCTGATCCACCGGGACAGCCACCCACCTGTTTTTTTTTTTTTTTATCCTCCTCCGCCTCCTCTTCCCTTGAGCGTTTTGTTCTTGTCGTCTCTGTGGCTTTCAAATACATGTAGATTAGTCGTTTTATGTCTGTCATTGACACTGTTAATCACATACGCCTTCAAAGTGTATGAAAAGGTTTAATTGCTACAAGCTCGCCAAAAATGACGCCACCACTGATTAAAACATCACCCCAAAATGTGATAAAACGATGATTACGGTTATAAAATGCAAGTTTTCATTTAATTTATCTTGATGTCTGCCTCCCTATAGTCTGTTCTCCTTCCACCATGTCTCATATGGTTCTCCCTGTATGCTGTGTTCATGGGGTTGACGGTAATACTACTATGTCATGTTTTTAGATGTTTCTGCATATCTGCCAGGTGCATAAAAGAGAAAATATAGATGGATAGAATGAAGAATAAAATTGCAGATAGAACAAAGTGTCTGCAGGTTATTAACTTGAATTATAGGTCTATATCTAGGTCAAATATAGCCCAAGATATAGTGGTAGGGAAAACAAATCTTAAAATAGTAAGTGCAATTCGCGATCACTTGAGAGATATGCCAGATGCAAATTGTGCAAAAATAGAAAAGGAAAAATAGGTGAGAGATGAATTTTCACACTCACACACTGTGTTTCCTGTGTTGATATGACATCCCCTCCCATCCCAGATGATCCAGTTAATCACTGGTTTCATTGTCAGCTTGCGGGCCGACACAATTTATAAACTGGCTGTGTGCAAACACTGAGTCACTCTCCATTGTTGGCACTGGGAAAAGATGCAAAAACATGTCGTCATTCACGCGTGTATGTCAGAGGGAGACTTTGTTTTGACTTTCAAAGTCAGCGGGGTGTGTTCCTGTGGGCGTGTATTTCACTTGTATGTTTGCATGAGCTCAAAGACAGCAATAGATATTATAAGGGGGCACTCTTATCTGTTAAATGTGTTAGAAATTACATTCTTGGAGACTTAAAGTTTGTTTATTGTTTTTTCTTCATTGCTAGCAGTCTATGGCCTCAGAACAAAGGGATTTCTGATAGCTTCTGAATTTGAATAAATCCATTCATTTCACTGGAAACACATGACCTTGGTAATCTTATTGACGTTTAATGTCCAGTTTGGCTGGAAGCCCCGTTTTTCCATCGAGAGCGAAGGTCCAAATGGGCCCCAGCTGTCAATACATCAGCCTCAGGATAATATGAATCATGCGCCCCCGGATCACAAAACTGTGAAATATAGTCACAAGACAGATGCTGGCAGTTTCATGGTTGAATCCACAACAGAACTCGTTCTGAGCTTTAAATCAGGGCTTCAGACCAAACCAGGATGAGATGATTTCAGGGATTTTGACCTTGTTCAGTAGCATGCGTGTGTCAGCGACTACTAGACAAAGCTTTAAAGGACCCGCCAAAATGATCATTTATGTATCAATGATGTACTCTGTGTTGCCTTGAAATTGTGAAGTCTCAATGGTGTATGAAAAACACAATCAACAAAGAAAATGATTTGAAGTAAATTAGGGCTATGTTTTCCAAAAGCAAGACTAAATCCAACAACTCTAACACAACTCATGCAGTACAATCCAAGTCTCATTGATGCAGTCATGTGCTGACTAATTGCTAGGAAAACGTATTTTTTCTCACAAACAAGGCAACACAGGGTGAGCAATTGATATACAAATGTAATTAAAGCTCAGTATGGTGAGTGTACTGAATAACACATGATATGTCTATACTTTTCATTTATTTGCCTTTTTTTATCTGCACTGTCCCTTTGGTGTAACAACATACATTTCCCCATCGTGTAACTAATTAAGGATTTATGATAGTCCAACTCTTATCTACTGTTACTGTATACAAAAAAAAGTTGCATTAGAAATCTACGATAGGTATCTACAACAATGAATATCTAGCATTAGCTAATATCCGGGCAACCCTATTGTTGAGAATTTCCCTCCACAATGAGCGTTGAATAATCGATGAAGGAGTTCACAGAATTAGCTTCCAATATGCAGCATGCAGGATCATAGTAGTTTGAGGATTAATCCCCCCCAACCCTCTTTTTCTACCGGTTCCCCTCTCTGATATTCAATGTCCTCTGGAGTACAGCTGATTCAGCGTGGGAAAGAGCTTTTTGCTGCAGCAGCTAACTTTCTCCAGTGAAGTCACATCATCCCTGCTGCATGGTTTCAGCAAATTGCATCGCCTGAGGGGGTGGGTGGGGGGGGGAGAGAGAGAGGTGTTTAGAGACGAAGG